CAGGTGACACGTCTTCAGCAGCGTCATTTGTACTGTTGTTCACTTCGTTCCAACTTAAATGTCCTGGACCATGATAACACCAAAGCCTGTTGCCATGTGCCACCTTTGGCTTACCTCACCGACAACATTTTATTCGGAAAGTCGCGTCTGAGAGATGATCCACTGTGTCATATGGGAGACTTCCCTTTGGTCTTCCTGGGATTATACAACCACACCTTGTCTCCTGGTACAAAGCTGACTTAAGTAGATCTCTTATCATAACATAGCTTCATGGAATCAGCAGACGTTTTCAAGTTTGAACGCATTTGATGGTGAATATCATTCATCCTTTCAGAAGACACTTTCACGAACTCTGGCACATTTTCAGGCAACTTTTCGTAAGGTGGGCATCCTGTTATCAGGTCCACTGGCAACCGAAGTTCTCGACCAAACATCAGCTTTGCTGGAGTGTATCTAGTGGTTTCATGCTCTGCTGTTCTATAGGCCATCAACAGTGGAGGGAGTATGTCATCTTGGCATCTATTACAAAACTTTGCCACTTCCTGTCCAAGTGTCCAATTGTACTTTTCTACCATCCCATCAGACTGTGGGTGAAGTAGCATTGTCCTGGTCTTTCATATGCCAAACAACTTGCAGCATTCATGGAACACAGCTGATTCAAAGTTACGGCCTTGATCTGAATGCAGTTCGTATGGCATACCAAACCTGAAGAAGAAATAACTAATAGCTGAAGTTACAGTTGTAGCTTCCTGATTTGGTATTGCATATGCCTCAGGCCACTTGGTGAAATAATCGATCACCACACAAATGTACTTGTTTCCAGCACGATTTCGGGCAAAGGACCAGCAATGTCGACTGCTACTTTTTCCATTGGTGCACCAACTTGATATAACTTCATTGGAGCATGTCCCTTATGCTTGGGTCCCCTTTTAGCACAACATGTATTGCAGGTCCTGCACCATTCTTCCACATCTTGCCTCATACCGATCCAGTAAAATTTCTGTCACAGGTGACTCAATGTTTTCTTAACTCCGAGATATCCTCCTGTTAAACTATCATGGGATTGATGCAGCACAACTTCCCGTAACTTTCTCGGTATAACCATTTGC